CCGAGGCGCCCCGCGGGCCCGCCCGCGACTTGTGGCCGCGCCGCACGGGGGGGAGCTCGGCTCCCGAGGGCGCCGGGCGGAAGGGCGCGCTCCGCAGCGCTCCCCACGGGAAGGCTCGCCCGGCGCCGGGAGAGCGGCGAGGAGAGGGCCGTGCTCGCCCTGACGTCCGTGGGCGAGGAAGGGGCTGCGGGCGAGGGAGAGGCCGACCCCTGGAAAGGGGGGCGCGGGCGGCCCCGGCCGGACCCTGCCCCCTCCCCCCTCGCAATCCCCTCCCAGACCCTCCGGCCTGCGGGGGGGCGGGAAGGGGCCACGTGACAGAGGCGCCGCGAAGGTCGTAAGTGCGGGCGTCGGTCGCGAAGTTACTTTTTCGTCGCCGCGGACCTCCGGGGGAACGGTTCTGGCCCGCCGCCCCCGGCCAGTCCCTCAGGAGCTGTTTAATTCCTGCCAGGTCTGAGCGCGAGGTATTGGAGGGCGACTGTGTTGATGAGGAACTAGAAGAAAAAGGAGTCAAAGCGCTTCATGTTTTTTTATTTCACAAGTCTTAAAAAAATGAGCCACAACTACGAAATCTGACACATTGTAATAAATGGACGTGACTTATAAAGGAGAAAAAAAACCCTCTGTACAAAAACGTTAAAAACCCAACAGTTTACAAGTACCAAAACTGTTATGCAAAGGCGACCGTATGTGGAAATCCTCTACGCTCGCCCCGTGGATTAAATAATGGCTTTTCCTAAAGTCGGACAAGGGTTTGAATTGACTGAGAAGATCGCAGCCTATCGGCCCCCCGCTATTCTTCATCGGGTCTGTAATGAATAAAAATGTACACCCACAAAAATTCTACTGCATATTTGTAAGACGTCCACAGTCGTCTCCCTTTAACGGAACTTCACGCCTTGGCCTTGCGTCTAATCGAACGGGGCAGGCGGCAGGGTTGCCTCTAAGGTAGACTCACAAACCGCAGCTTGCTCCAAGTAACATGCATCGCCTAGTCTAGCACGGCTACGGGAGGAAGAGGGGCGGGAAGGCGCGAAGCAGCACCTCTATCGCAAGCAAAGCTACAAGCAGCACTGGGGGGATCATGCTTTAAGATGGCAAACACAACCGAGGTGATTCATTCCAAGCAAACACTTCACACTATGACACTATTTCTTGGGACAAATAATTTTTTCTCGCATAGCAATGGATGAAATGTGGGCTAAGGGACACAGACGCAGAGGAGAACTAAGATCGTTCACTTCATTCTTTGCTTCCGATTTCCATCTCCGCTCATCCGAGACTCGTGATGTTGGAGCGGCCTCCAGGGGGTGCCACAATACGGTGTCCCGTGCGGCGTGGGTTGTTGTCATCTGCCTGAGCACCTGCAGGAGAGCATTTAAGAAGCATTATGTTTAATGGCCTCGGCAATACATTCCAAAACATGAAGGGTCCTTGCTTTCCAGGTAAAAGGCACCCCCAAACATAACCCTTCTCTAGCGTGGTGTTGGGGCTGGTTGGTGGGGAGGGGGGAAGTGTCCACTGTTTTTTTTTAACCTGATCAAGCTTGTGCAGGCAGACAGGGAGCACGGTCAAAACTCACTGAGATTTGCTCCTCATTTTTCCTTACAGTGGGGGTTGGCTGTACCGCAAAGTTGGAGAACCACTCTGACATATAGATTAAAAATTAATTATTAAAAATTGTATATATTTCTTGCCTGGTCCTAACACCAACTCAATCATTAATTTATCCATGAGGAGTGTAATGAGGGAAAAGGCACCCCGGGATGAACTTGGCCCTCCCCTGAGGCCCTTCAGTTCTGAGGTCCCTGCACCTGGGGGTGAACAGCGACCGGCCAACAGGCCTCCCGCCGCCGCCCCTTTGCCGGGGACCGGATTCTGCCCCCGCCCCGGAGAAGGGGACCTCCTCACCCCGCCTGGGCCTGGCTCGAGGCCAAAAGGGGAGCTGGGCAAAGCCCTTGGAGCCTCTGGCTCAGCCCAGCCGAGGGAAACCAGAAATAAACTTTAGGGAAGGTGCCCGAGGAAGGTACGTTTCCATGCACGGGGCCAAGCCGCAAAAACCCCTCAGGCCGCTCAGGCTGACCGAAGGGCTTCAGCCTCGCCTGAGGTAACTCCCGCAGAACCCAGCGGGGCCCCTTCTTCCCCCCATTGGCCCTTGGGGCTCACGTGACCCCTCCCCCCAGGCACAGAAGGCGGGCATGGGGTTGAAAGGGCCCCCTGCTCCCCACTACAGGGACACACACACATTTATCATTTTAGGGGACTGCTGAAAAATTTGAGAATCGCTGACTTAGATATAATTTGAGACTTCAAATCCTTGCTTCTTTTACTGAGACGAGTGTTTTGATCATACTGGGTTGTTCCTAGGGAAGCAGACTTGTCTGCTGGGATCAGTTCTTTGGTATCTGCGGAGGCTGTGAGGAGAAGCCTCGCTCAGAGAGCCCAGCCAGGCGTCCTCAGTCTTATAGCATACATGGCAAGACCAAAAAATAAACACCTCCCGCCATTCTGAAAACTGCCTTCTTGCCCCAAATGGGGCAGCAACCCCATTATAAATTGCTGGGGCAGAGGGCAAATCTTTTTCGCAAGCGGTCTGTTTTCAAAAGATTTCAGAATCACCTGATAAACTGAAATTAGACTGATGGAGGTTTCTGATTGGTGGAGGCTGGTTTTTGGCAGGTGACGTTTTAGTTGATGGGGCAGGTGTTGTGTATTTTGCAGGAGTTGCTGAAACCTCATAGACTGGCCCATCATACATTCCTCGAGAAACACCTTGTAATTCTGCTACCTACAGAGCACAAGAAGAAACACATTTATTCATTCTCAGTTAACAGGCGTTTGACTTGCATCTCTCCAACAACACAAACTATTTTGGCTTCTTACTCACTTGTAGGTGATCATAAGTGAGAAGCACTATTCTGGACGTAATGCTAGTCTACAAGCAATAGGTCCACAAGCACGACCAACGTTGGTTTAATGCTGTCACAGCTGGGTCCAAGGATAAGCCTCTTAAGTAGGGGGCACATCACTCCCACCTTCAGGGCTGATGGCACCGCCCCCTCCTGCAGTGAGGCATTAATCACCACTTGGACTCAACCACATGCCACTTCCCAGGAAGCCTTAACCAACCAGGAGGGGCATGGGTCTAGTACACAGGTAGCAGAGCTCACAGCCCTGAGGACTCTGTTCACTTCCTCAGGAGTAATCAGCTCAAACTCTTATTTATTTGTCAAATTTATATAGCCGCCGATCTCACATCAGGTGACTCTGGGCAGTGTACAACAAGGCTAAAAACAACTCATAAATACTAATGATAAATAAAGTCAAGCAACATTATCCAACAGATGCCGAGAAAACTCCCACAACAGCCCACCAAGGGCTTCCCCAGTCCCTACTTGCCCAGAAGGGACCTCGTCACCCTGGTTATCTGCAAATGCACTCTTTGCCATTCTTATTGCTCCAAAGTAAGTCCTAATACAGGCTCTTACTTGTGCTCAGTAAGCTTCATTCTTTGTATATTTTGGGATATACAAGCCTCTTGCAAAGGTGGCAGTTCATATGAACAGGGTTTCCCTGAGCATCGCAGATAAAACTGGCATACAAGTTACAGGGCGTGCCTATCTGTCGCATTCTCCCAAGATCTGTCTGACTCCGGGTAGCCTTTCCACTGAATCAGATATTGCAAATGTTTCCCCTTACGTATAGAGTCCAGGATAACCTTCACTTCATACTCTTCCTCCCTATCCACTATGATGGGGGAGGGGGCTCTTCCAGTACATAGGGTGCAGGGGATATCTCTTGCAGAAGCAAAGTCCGGCAGAAAACAGGATGAATCTTTTTTTTATTATATTTTTATTAGTGTTTTACATAGGTAAAAGCTAATACAGAATTAGAAAAGATATACAAACAAAAAAGAAGAGAACACAAAAAGAAAAGGAAGAGAGATAAAAAGTGACTTCCCCCCTCCAAACAAGTATAAGCATTTACAGTAACTTAACACTTTCTCTAATATTGCAGAAAAAAACCTCTTCTTCCCATTTCTCATCACTAAACAATAATCAAATTATAGAAAGATTTCATCGATCAATCTTACTCAGCAAAAGCATTAAAAGTACTAGTAGTAATAACTTATACGTTTTAAGCTTAGACAAATAAATCTATTTTGCATTTTGACTTATAACTTTGTCTAATAAGAAATAAAAGATTTATCCCCATTGGTATAAAGAATGTCAATAGTAGTAACTTATATATTTTAAACTAGATCCAATAGGTCCCTTTTACATTCTAACCCATAAGTTTCTCTAACAAACAGGAGGTAAAAGATTTATCCCCATATGAAAAAATCTGTACATTGTCTTGCAATCCTGGTAATAAAAAAGATTCCAATAATAACAACCGAAAATCAAAATTTATACAATTTAACCCTGATCAAGTAAGTCCACTTTTTCTTCTTTTTAAGAGGCTTAATCTTCAGTCGCTTCAATAAATAAATCTTCAAATAAAGTTCCACATAGTGATTTCTTATCATTTTCTCCCTGTTTTCAATAGCAACTTCAGAGATTTAGTGCTTCCCTTCTATGGATCCAAAATAAGATAGCTCTCCAAGTCACTCTTCTGATTTATAATCAGGATATCCCTTCAATTGTAAAAAAACATCAGCCAGCATAATTTGTATATCCATTACAACTTCTTTCTCCATGTCACTCTTGTAGTCAAACATTTTTAATTCCATTTTCAAATCCACAACATCTTTTTCCATATCTTCCATATCTCTTTTATAGTCTGGTAGTTCTTTAAAGTCCATTTTAAGTTCCTATTCAAATCATCCTCAGCTTCTGTTTTATCCAAAAAAATCTTTTCTTCTTCTATAACCTCC